ATCAGAACTGGCTTTGACAAGCACTGTGGCAATTGGACAATTAAAACAGACATTGGGGTGGGGGAAGAAGAACGAACTAGGGATGAGAGTGGAGAAAACAGTGCAACAATGAATGAATGAATGAAAACCCCAAATCTCTGTAAATGTTCATTAAAACGAATAAAATTTAATAAAAATAAAAAAAACAATAAAAAAAACAATAAAAACAGTAAACATTAAAAAAGATTACATAAAAAGAAATGCATATTAAAGTGCACTGCTTGGGGGAATGTATAATAATGAAAGCATTTTTTTTTCTTTCAAGAGAAAAACGAATGGTGGGGGGTAGGCAAGGGATGGGCAGGAAGGAAAAAAAAATTCATACTAGCTATTAGTACAAGGATGCAGATTGGGGTAACAAAATAACAACAAATTTCTATGATCTTAGAAACCTTAAAAGGCTTTACTTCTACTTTATCTCAGAATTAGTATGATCATAGCCAAAACTGAAATAAAAACAACAGGTTTAATCACTAGAAAAGCCTTTAGGAATTATGTGATAAAATCCCTTTATTTTATAGAGAGTAAAATAAAAATCAGGTAGAAGAAGTGACTGAACTAAGGTTGTATAGCAAATTAAAGCCAGTTCTGTTTTTCCTGTACACAACACCAATTGATACTGTATATACTAAAAAGAATAATAAATAAAACAACCCCATAAAGTAATTATAGGTTCACTAAGACACTGAAACCTGCTGCCTAAGCATAAAACAAGATATGTAAATCTTGCACAAAGGATTGCATAGAATTTGAACAGTGACATAATGCCTTATTTGTTCCACTTTTAACAGAAAGGTCAGCAGTTTAAATCCACCAGCTGCTCCACAGAAGAAAGATGAGCTGTCTCCTCACATAAAGATTTACACCCTCGATCAGGCCTCCATCCTTACCCTTAGTCTCAGGCTTAAGTGCCACCCACTCTTGAGGGGCAAAAAGAACAGTAACATACAACAAAAAGGAACCCTGAAACTTCCCTTGCCTGACTGCCATCAAGATGAGCTGCCATCGAGACTCCAGCAATCCAGCCAGTCAGCTGACTTTCAGAAAATAAAGCAGGACGACTATCCTGCACAATTCTCATGATCTCTTCCATGCTCAAGCCATTGTAGTTACGGTGTTAGCCCATTTTCTTAAGCAGCTTCCTCTCTTCTGCTGATCCTTGTCCAAGCATGATGTCTTTCTCCAAAGACTAGTCCCTCCTGGCAACATGCACAAAGTATGTGAGGCAGTTTCACCATCCCTGCCTCTAAGGAACACCTTAGTTGAACTTCTTCCAAGACATATTTGTTTGTTCTTCTGGCAGTCCACAGTGAAATTTATACTCTTCGCCAACATCACAGTTTAAAGGCATCAATTCTTCCTCAGTTCTTACTCATTGTCCAGGTTTCACATGCATATGAAGCATGTGAAATACTGTGACTTAGATTACGTGCACATTAGTCTTTAAACTGACATCCTTGCTCTTGAGCACTTTGGAGAGTTTTTGATGTAATGCAACAGGTCTTTTGATTTCTTGGCTGCTACTACCATGGGCATCGACTCTGAACCCAAGTAAAATGAAACCTTTGACAACTTCAGTCTTTCCATCTGTCATGATGGTATATATTGATACAGTTGTGAGTTTTTAAGTCATTGCCTTTGTTGTTGTCATTGTTAGGTGCCTGTGAGTTGACTGGAACTCATAGGAATCCTATGAACAACAGATTGAAACCTTGCCCTTTCCTGCATCATCCTCACATTCTCTGCCATGCTCAAACCCATTGTTGCAGTCACTGTGTCAGTCTATTGTGTCAAGGGTCTTCTTCTTGTTCACTGACCCTCCACTTTTCCCAGCATTATTTCATTTCCTAAGGACTGTTTGTATTTCATTAAACAACTAAGTGAAATTTAATAATAATTGATACTATTGTGGATAAGATATTTATCTGCTCACCAGAAGGTCAGCCAATTGAACCTATCAGTTATTCAGTGGAATAAATATTAGGTTGTCTGCTTCTGCAAAGATTTGTAATCTTGGAAATCCTATGGGAACATGGGGGACTGCTATGAGGTAGAAGTGACTTGATGGCAGTAGGTTTTGGGTTATGGGATCCTCAGAGTTTACAACAGTAACAAGCTACTCAAGATATTATAACATTTTCAATGAATGAATGACAGGCACCAAGCTTGATTAATATTGCAAAAAAGGAATAATACAAGTACTTCCTCTATTGTTGTTTCTTAGGAAAGACATACATGTATGGGAAGTAGGTACAATTTTAGAGCATTGAAAGTATTATAATAGAAAATATAAGTATAAAAAGCAGATATAGGAAGAGTTAAACAAAGGTACCAGAAAAACCTCAAACCAGCCCACTGAATTGGTGCCAATTCATGGCCACCCTCCATCTGGTTTCCTACACTGTAAACCTTCACAGAAGGAGACTGCTCATCTTACCACTGCACAGCAGCCAGTGGATTCAAACCACTGACCAGTCAAACATATACCAGAGCTCCTTTATAGGAAGACAGGGGAGAATTAAAATGAAAGACTCCTTAGTTCAGTTAAATATTGCTTGAAAGCTTTCTATTGCCAAATCCTGGCAAAGAACTGGTGACTAAAGGACGAGATATGATCATGGGCATAAGACACTTAAATTACAGGTTCATTAACATATTTAAGATAAAATACACTAAGATAATGACATGCTGCTAAGATAACAGAGTTAGTAGGCCTCAGTATAGAACAGTTCCTCAGAATGAGGTGAGTCCTACAGAGCAAGTGAGGGACAGCTAGCCAAAACGACTGTCTTAAACCTGGTTATGACTTAAAATAAGCTAGTAGAATTTTGTTTTCAGCCACAGAAATGTACAAATGAAGATCTACCCTTATAGATTTTCATAGTCTACACTCTTAAAATGAAACTTTCTACTTTTCCCACAATTTCTATCTTTATATTATTAATACCTTCATTAACATCAAACCCAAACATCACTATTGACCTTTCCCTCCTAGAAATGGCTTGTCTTGGCATCTGTAACCCAAGTTAACTTGGTTTTCCTCTCATTATTCTTGTCTTATCGCTCTGTTGACTTTTTATGTCACTCTTCCTCAGCCTACCCTATTTAACTTTAATATTAAGTAAATCGAAACTACTAAGTATTTGTATTAAGAGTGTTTTCAGTTTACTTTTAATAATACTTCTAGAAATTCCTGCTTTATTTTCTGAGTATTCATTAACTACTACTTGTTTAGTACAATCTTCCAGAGGTTTGCTAGATTTTAGCCTTAGGCTCAGAGTTTTCTGTAAGCAGTTTAGACCAATTTAACAAGCATCTATTAAACACCAAATAAGTATGAAACATTTTATGTAGCACAAAGTACATTTAAGACGAAAAGTGCTTTAAATAACAATAAGTCCTTGATCTGAAGGTTTAAAAATTTCTAATGAAATATAAGCACAACTAGTATGCAACAAACATATTGTTTATAGTTGATGATATAGTTGATCATCTTGTTTACAGTTGGTGTCTGCTCTGATTAGACATGAGGCTAACTAGGTATGTGAACCTGGGGAAGTTAATTACTATCTCATTTATATTTCAATATTTTCATCTGAATCATATTATCCATCTTGTGGAAACCTTGTAAAGAAGAAATAATTTTGTAAGGAATTAAAAACATAATGAATGAAAAGACACCTTATACCTAATGCATCTACCAAGCCATAATGTAAATCTCAATATATTTTGTAAAGTCATCACTATACATACCACTTCATTTGATAACCATGAAATTAATTTAAAACTAAACTAAAAAATGTTCCCATAATTGTGGAAATATTAAATTACACCCTCAATAACTCACGTATTAAAGGGCAAATCAGTAGACACTGGAAAATAAGCAGAATTAAATAATAATAAAGTACTTTATGTAAATATTTACATGAACAAATTAGGAGCCAAATTTAACAGAAAATGTATGGTTTTAAACGTGTAAATTAGAAAAGAAGGCATAAAAAGAATGAGTTTATGGGGGGACAGGAAGGAAAATGTACAACAATGAATGAATGGAAATCCAAGTTCTCTATAGACGTTCATTAAAATCTCAATTAAAAAATAATGAGTTTAATGCTCTGCTGGAGAAGGAGG